CAAATACAACAAATTTGCCACAAAAGTGGGCGGTGGGTGATGGTGGGCGGTTCCAGGGCAATTGCCTTGTCCAGTTCCTGTGTCAAATGCATGTCACACACACACATACACCATACACAAACACACACACATGGACAGACGGCCAAAGTGTGAAATGAAAACACGGCAGCAACCGAAACGCGTTACAAAATGTTAATTTGCAGTGACATTGGCGGGGTGGCGATGCGGTGGGCGGAAAATGTGATGGGGAAAGGGGTAAGGGAAGGGCGAGGGGTTGGGGTTGGTGGTGGGCTGATGGGACTGCGGCAGGTGCCTCACTCGACCACAAGGCAGCAGCTTTGTGCTCTACAGGCATTAACAAACAGCAGCAACAACAACAACTGCAACAACATTTGCAATCAGTCGGCGACCGGCGGCAAAAGCAACAGCAACAACAAAACTGCATGATGATGACGATGACGAGCAACCGCTAACACCAACCGAGCTGCAACCAAATGACCAATGAGCCAACCACTGCCCACACACACACACACACACAATCAACCAGTCACCCACACACACACATACTTACACACAGATGGACTACCAGAAAGAGGGGGAAAGAAAGAGAGAGAGAGAGTCGGCCATGTGTCAGGGCAAGCTTGTCGCTCGTTATGCTCATTGGAAAAGCCGGAAAATGGGGTATTAGCGACTAGAGGAAATCGGAGGAAATACTCCTTTTTTCAGATCTATATTCTTTGGATTATTTGCTTTTAAAACTGAATTTAAAGGTGATCAGATTCAAGCACTTTAATTTAAGCTGTTTACGAAAAGGAGTTGCTTACTTCTGGGCAAATGGGAATTTGTGTTAATATCTATATCCTCTTACTTTTCCAACTTGGTTATTTGCTTTTCATTTCTATTTAATGTTGAAAGGCAAAAGGTTATAAAAAAGATTGGAAAACATTTACTGTGTTTATATATTAATTAGGCTCATCTATTTTCAACTAATCTTCCCTTAAATATTTTAAGAACCATTTAAACAGGGTATCAACTGCTCCTCAACACTTTCCGCAGTAACTGCCAGTGGATGTTGCTGTCGTTGGGTCAATGTTGATGCTGATAAGTAGCAAAACATGAGGTCGCCTGTAATTATGCGAGTGTTGCAAGTTAATTGCAATTGTGTGCAACTGACGGTAGCGAGATTAATTAAATTCATTCCATGCACGGCACTCGCAATTGCAACTGCAGCAGCAGTTGCTGTCCCGCAGCAACATCGCTGCCCCGCAGCAACATCCTCCTCTCGTGTTGGCCGCCATCACTCAATGCCAGGACAAGGCAATGGGGACAGTCAATCTGTTTATTTGCTTATCCCCAAACCCCCATCCCTTAACCCCCTTAACCCACTGATACCCCTCTGTTGATGCCCCAAGTGCCCCGACTTAACACTCCCCACGCACACGGCATTGTTTAAAGTTCACTAATTTCATGCATATTGCCGGTCGCTTTGCATTTGTGTGTTAGTTAAGTGATTTATTGTCGCAAAATTGTCATTATTAAAAATTAATGATGTCATAATTAAGTGTGCTGCTGCCGTGCAGTTGATGTTGCTGGTGCTGTTGTTGCTGCTGCAGTGCTGGTGCTGTTGTTGCTGCTGCTGCGTTTTATTGTGAAATGATTTACATGGCCTCACGGCCAAGGGGGTCGCAACATTAGCTGCTCCGGACATTTTAGCAGCGCAAATTTATGAACTGCAAACAACAAATATGCTCGATTCAATTTAATTTCCATAATTTAATTAGTCTTGTGTGGACAGCAGCGATAGCCAACCCCAAAGGGGTTGGGTGTGTGCATCTGTTGTTGTTGTTCTCGTTGTTGTTGTTGTTTAAGGGGCCCCATGGTTTTGAGGCACCCTCTGTTCTTGGGGCCATTTGCATAACCAGTCGGTAATGCGGTTTGGCCTTGCTCATCTGCCGTGTTCGGGTTTTCAAAACAACAACGAGATATGATAATGCCTCGAGGAAGCCGGATTAGTTTTGAGCTATCTCTTTTACCCCTTTTCCCCCCCTGGAATTTTGTTACATTAAGCTTACTTTCCCATCCGATTGCTGAATTCCAGTGTCGCTTTAATTCGCTGACGATGCAGTTTCAAAACGTTTGATGGCTGCTCATAAAAATATTGCAACATTTTACACATTTTTTGCGACCAGCTTTCGCCGGATTGAAAAAGTCGAATTAGATAATGGGGAAATTGCAAATTCATGAAAATATTTATTTTAATAGAGAAGGGGTGAGGGAAGCGGGGAAAAAAAATGTCATTCCTAAAACAACATTCAAGAATTCATGTTGTTTTAGTTATTATTAGTAATTTTATTTGGGAAATATATATTTTGTTTTTGTTATCAAGATTTTTCGAAACAAATTTAAGAAAGCAAACAGATATGTATTTTTAACAGAGTAATGCCCATTCGACTCTCCGCATTTTTCAAAACTTTTACCCGCAGAAAAATGAATGGCAGCGAATTTGTCACTTTGTCAAATTGCAATATTTGCAGGTCTGTTCTGAATGGGTTTGCTCTCGCTCCGACTGTCATGATCGATGTTGTCTTTTATCTGTGTCTGGAAAATCCCTCGGTCCAGCCACCCACCCATTCGCCCACAACTTCAATGTATTAAAAATAATCACCAAAATGGCCAATAGCCGAAATGGCCAACTGCAAACGCATATGCATGAAAAAGAAATGATGTAAAAAATACTCCCCAACTCCATAAATAAATCTTCCCGCCGCAATTTTTATGGCAGCGATAAAATGGTTGTTTTAACCGAATCAAAATGATGCATCAGGAGATACCCTGCAAAAAGTTATCATTAAGCCTGAATGAAACACTATTTTAAAGGGTTAATTTGAACTTACTGGATCACCTGCACTTTGCTTTAATTCAGACTCTGGGGTTGCCGCTCGCTTACGGCCTGCCAATATATATAGTTATATATATATGTCGGGTTAACCCCGTCTGGCCAGATTCTGTGGGGAGTTACATCCAGCGCCATGCCACGCCCCCTTTAGCCAGCTGCCCCCGTTGTGCAACATAACTTCGTGCAGAACTCACCGCAAATCAGTTTGGCCAGAGTTGGCTCGCCTCGCCCAAACCATTTGATTGATTGAAAGTCAGCCAAAGTTGGAATTGAGTTTGCTGCAATAAACTGATAGATCAGATCGTACCCTGGCCAAAATAATTAGGTAAGTACTAGCCTTTAAACTTACTTATTTTGAGACAACTTGAAAAGGATAAAATGGGTTTAAAATTTAAACATTGTAAAGCCGACATTCCCAACCATTTGATCAACCCAAAAACTCAAACCATTCCCCAGGCACTCCAAAAATGAAGGGGTATCAACTAACGGCAGCAGCTGCCGCTTGATTCGCTTAAATAAATTACACTTGCCATGTATTAATTTAAGTCATAATTTCCCATTGGCAAATCCCTCGATGCACAACAGAAACAAAGCTACAAAAAAAGTCGCAAGGGGGGCAAAAACTGAAAACTGAAACAAAGAGCTCAAAAAGTTTCAGTCGAATGCCGGTTGACAAAAACAACTGCAAAAATGTCAACTTGTGGAAATAATGCAAATGTTTATACAAATTATTATTATGTGATTCTACGAGGGTTATTTAGAGGCAAAAAAAAAAAAAGGGTGAGCGGTTCGAGCAGAAAAAAGTTATACAGCTAGTTTTTGGTCGTGTCCCCGGCCACGTGGCGTATACGTAATCATTTTCCTTTCGACTATTAAAAAGCTGATTTTTATGCTGGCCAAAAACCCAACCGAAGCGAGAGACAGCCAGCACTTTCGTATTTAAACGTGATTTTAAATAACCGCAACAGATTTTGTGGTTTCATGTTGCATTTGCCGTTCGATAAGCGACAGCCCGACATTCCCGGGTGGTTTGGGGTGGTTTAGGGTGGCCCACGGTGGTGCAGGATGCAGGGCTGGCTTGTCCTGGTCGAGTTGGTTTGATAAGGTCCCCGGGTTACACGAGCCGGTTGGAAACTGGCGGAACAGTGGATGCTGCGGTCAAGTGCATTTAAAATGCAAAATGCACGCATTTGCGGCGAAGTTGCAACGTTGGCGGCGGCAACTCTCCACATCGGGATTATGTATTAAAAATGCCCAAATTCATAATTTTAAAATTGCAATTAAATGTGCGACTATGTTAAGCCCTCGATAGATGTACATATGTATATCCCACGATGTGCTTTTTTGACCAATAATTGACAGTTCATCAAGCTTTTGATGGTAAAATTCGAAAACAAATATACTCGCTTTGCACTTAGATATTAAAGTTATAAGCTGAACAACAATTTCATGGAACAAATTTAAGCTTCTTTTTAATGATTTTAAATGTACACTATGTGTGCGTATTTAAAATTTAAGTTTTTATTCGAACAAAATAAAATGTTATTAGAGCACAGGATTAAAATCGAAAAACATGAACAAAAATATATGAAAATGTTCGACTCTGTCGAACTTATGCAATAAATATTTATGTCGTTGTTGTACGCTTTTTCACATCGATGTACTCGTAGAGATTAACACTTGATTATTGTTAATGTTATTACCTAATGTCCAGACACACACACACACAAACGGCGGCCGCTCTATACACATTTACGGGGGGCATAAACAAACTGCTTTCATATATCCACCGATATGGGTGTGGATTTTGAGTCTGTTCTGTGGGTGGGTTTTGCATAATGCCTGCCATAACACTTCGCTGGCTGTCGATACTCGTATTCTGTATATTATTTTGATCATTTCACATTGCTGGGCCTTACTTTAAATATACAATAGTATTTGGTTTTGGGGATTACGTTAATGGTTATGTCGGTAATTATGATTACTAGTCAGCTATCGTTATCGTTATTGTACTTACGCTACGCACACACAAAAAAAAAATAACCTCTGACTGCAATCAAGGCCTGATTGATTTTTGGGGTAGACAAAAAAAATGCACGTTTAATGCTAATTATCGTAATCGTAGTCGCTATCCATATTATTTCTTTGTTTATTTTCCGCCTATTTATATTATATGTGTGTTTCCAATCGCCATTTTGGCCACTGCTGCGCTGATTCCTTTTGATCCTTTCCCCACCTCCTCCTCTTCCGTTTTCCTCCTTTTCCCTCGGCATCGCCTTGTTTATATGTATGTTTAGTGGAAGCTCCTGTTGCACGCCGCTCGCTACTTACGTCATACGCTTACGATACGTTACGTTACTTCATCACGTCACTGGTTTCTAGTTTTGTTTCCAACTGGTCGCTGAAAACGGGATATTCAAAATTAATGTTATTAAAGCTCTCAGTTACAAATTGGACAGCATTTAAAGAAAGAAATTATCAAGATAAAACATTTTTGGGCCATTTTGTGCAGGTTTTGCCGTAAAAAAATGTACAAAAACTATTCATTAATAGTTATACTAACCTTTGTAGTAGACCTCGCGGTACATGGTGGGGCAGGCTGCCTTGCCGTTCGTTTTCGTCGACTTGAAATCGATGTTGGTGCGAATGGGCCGGTGCAGGAGCGGCTGAGGAGGCCGGTAATTGTTGCCCAGGGGCGCTTTCGGGTGGTCGGGGCTGCCTTGCATCAGGCGGCGCAGGGCGTGCAACTGAAAAAAACAATTACAAATTGATTATAATAAAATTCTGTTTTAGACGGTTATGGATAAATCATGTCATCAATGGTGCAAAGTAATTCCCCAAATAACAAAGTTTAATAACAAACGTATATTACACGATTTGATTATCTGCTAACTTGGCCACACTGCGTATGAGTAACAGACTTGCAGAAAACTTTCCACTGCAGATTTAACCTGCGGAGTATTTCAATGGGGATTTTCTGTGCTCTTTCCTGTGACTTTCCCTTTGACGTAGCCGCATTTTGTGAAGTGGTTTTCCCTTAGCAAAGCTCATCCTCGAGACGCGGAAGTAGATCAACAATGGCTCGACAATAAGCCAAACTGCCGATGCAGATAAGCCGGAGAGCCCATCCATCCGTTTGAGCCAGTCTGTCGAGCGTTTAACGTGCATAATTATAAACTTTTTCGCAAACACAACATCATCGATCCGCACTTGTCGCAAAAATTCAAGCTTGACACAAATTGCTAATCCTAAAAATAAGCGCTCGCTGAACAAAAAACTCGAAAAAATAACCACTAAGGACATATTACACACACACACACACACAAACACAAACACACAGTAAAGCATCGATGAGACGACAGCAGCGGCAGCAGCAGCAACAACAACAAGAACGAGGACAACAACAACGAGTCAATAACACTTAATCTACTCAATCTGTTTATCAATTGACTTCCGTCAAAATCGCTTTTCACGACAACGTGGCCGGGTTGATGTTGATTGAGGAGAGCGGGGGCCTTCGGGGGGTTAAGGGTTCTGCGGGGGTGGCGAAAGGATCTCCCCGGAGTGCCCGTTCAAGTGTGAATTAAGTTGGGTATACGTGTGCGAGTGTTTGTGTGTGTGTGTCTGTGGATGTCCCGAAAGTATGCAACACTAAATGGCACTCAAGGATTAAAGCCTGTTTTCGGTTATGGTTTGTGGTTTTAAATTAAAATATCTGATAAAAATAAGGCCCAATTTAAAAATTTGAATTAACAGAAGCTAAAGCTAAAATAAAATTTGTATAAAACAAATATATCTGCCTTCCAATGACTTTACGTGTATTCAATTGTTTTAACCAACAGAAATTTGCCATAATTGAATGACAAAATTAATATTTAGTCTCACAGCTTATTAAATTAGAGTCAAAAGTTAAATAGCTCTATTTCAATTTGGTAAGTGCGGCTTTTAAGCGGTTAATGACTCAGTTTGGGAAGCGGAGTTAAGACCTTTAACCCTTTTGGCCGCTATCGCCTTTCCCTTCCGCCCGTTAATGGGTTAATTGCAATTTCAGCTCATGTCGCGCAGCTTCCTGTGCTTTTTACTCTCCAATTCCGTTCCTCTTTGGCCCACTGGTGTTACTTTAATTTGGTAAATTATGTTTTGCCAGCAAGGTGCTCTCGCTGTCTGCTGTCTGCCCTCTCTGTCTCTGTTTCTTTCCGCCTCTCCTTTGCCGTCTCTTTTCCTCGAGTGTATGTGTGTGTAAGTGCGGTGCAGCCAGTAAATTACGTTGCCGGAGAATCGTGGACCGGAGTCCTCCACGGCTGCCACAAGTTGTAATCATGTGCCCATGGGTGCCATTGAGCTTGTTGAAGTTTTTATGAGTCTGCCTGCTGCAGTCGCGTGTGCATGTGTGTGTGGGGGTGTGCGGTGTGTGTGTGTGTGTGTGTGTCTCTTTTCCATCCGCCCTGTTTACATTGTTTACACGTATGCCGCTGGCCACCATTCAACCGCTCCAAAATACCACCCAACCACCCACCGCCCCGCTGGCGTCTTTATTACAGCGCTGCACTTAATAAACATTTGTGTTAAATTTTTTCTCCCTCTGTTTTTCAGCTGAGTGTGTGTGTGTGTGTGTGTGTGTTCGCCATTCCTTTGAGTTATGGACACTATCCACTTTGTTCGTCCTCCTCCAGCAGAAGCAGCAGCAGCAGCAACTCAATTTAAAACTTAAATGAAATTAGCTAATAAAACAGAAGAAGCCCGGGACCAGCGGACATTGGTGCACTGTATACTAATTAACAAACATTAAGGTGCTCATCACTCAAAATGTTGTTTTTTTTTTTGTGGTTTCGGGTGGTTTGGGGTTTGCGGAAAAGAGAGGGCACACTTGATGAATTCGGTTGGAAAAAATTACTTCTGGACTTTTACTTTGCTCTGGGACTCAGTCAACAGCTTAAGGGATTTTCCTCTGAGGTAAGTATTTTATTGGTTTAAAACATTGTTTTGGAATAAATAGTACTTTTCTTTCTATTCTTTGCTCATAGGATGTTTGGCTAACTTAAATAATATTAAATAATTATTTAATTTGTTCTTATGTGACTTACCTGTTGCTTTGTGATGTAGATGGGCTTGTTGAGCACCACCCAGGTGACTGTTTCGTGGCAGGCAGGTGCCGTTGTTGATCCATCGTAGGTCATGTAGTGATCCGTATCTGGGAGCAGTCCTCGAATGGAGAGCCGCTTGACGAACGCCTCATCGCCGCCATATCGAATGCGCTCCAGCTGATCGGTGAGCATGCGCAGCTCCGGGTTCGAGAGGTCACCAAGCTGAAGAATTAAAGAAAATTAGTATTCCACTTAATATAAACAAAAAGAAGAACGTGTAATAAATTATACAGAAACCAAATTATACAGAAATCAAAACGTATTTGAAACAAAAATAAAGAATAAATATTATCTTACTTAAAAAATAAATATAATTCTTTCATTAAACTTCTATAAAACAAGAATATATCTTCTTTGTTTTCTCTAGTTATTCATATTTAAAAGTGCTTGAAAAAAACGCTATAAATTATTGCTCTTATCGAAGCTATTGTTTATTTATTGCTCATAATTTTCGATCGCCTTGCGGGATTACTTACCTGCAACAAAATTGAGACTCCCACAATGCCCTGGGCGCGGTTGAGGGCATCTGAGAAATTTGCATACAGCTGGGAGTTGTAGCCGAATATCTGGATCTGGGGAAAACCAAGGGGAAATGGAGCGTCAGCAGGAGAGTTACACAGTTACAGTGGAGAGTGAGATATGATGGCTAAGGGCTGGAGTTTTCTAATCCTCCTCCTGTGCCGTCCGTCCAGCCTCCGTTCTTTATTTCTTGTGTGCCGAGGCCAAAACTTTATTGTTGCTCAATTTAAGCCCAAATGCATACAGAGGCGGTGACAACCGACACAAAACAAAGGGGGCGTGGCAGGGGTCAACGAAAGCTTTCGCCTTGTTTCGCATAAATTGCCCCAAAATAATCCCAACTATCAACAAAATGCACACAAATACAAACACAGTAGCACAAACACTAAAACACGTGGCCAAACACACACACACACTCGCACTAACGCATACAAACATTTGCAGTTTGTAGAGAAGATCAAGCAACAAAAACTGCAAATATTTTGCTTTTAGCCAAGACACCGAAAGGGCCAAGAATTTTCCTACACAGCCACTAACACATATACACTCACACATACACACAATCACACACATATGCATTTGCACTTTTGTTTCATGTCGGCAGCAAAACGCCTACAGATGAAGAAGAGCCAGGGGAAAGTGGAGAAAGCGGAGAGGGGAAAGAAGGAGGCGACACCACAAAATGAATCCCAAAGCAAATGCTTAAAGCGAGGGTTGCCCCAGGAGTTTATCGGTTATCGGGTTGCTTTGCAAAATAGTTGGAAATCGTTGTTATCATGGTTTCTAAACATATTATATAGAAAGTAAAATCTACAACTCCTAGTATAAATATAATATATAAAGTAAGTATACATTTTGACGTAAATATAAAATATCCCGTTTTCTGTACTTTATGTTATAATAATTACACTTTCAAGTTTTTAAGACAGTCTTCTGCAATCTTTCCCCCTAGTTTACTTTTCTAGCTTCCCCAGCAATTGTTTGTGAGTTTGTGTAACATGTGTACATGGATTTTCGGAGGGATTTGGGTCTGCTATATGTTTGTTTCCCTCTGCGAGTGTGAGTGTGTATTTTTGCATGGTGTATGTGTGTGTGTGTGTGTCTGGGTGTGAGTGTGAGTGCACTCGCTGGTTGACCAGGCCAGACGCACCGAGCGGAAGGAAATGCTGCAGACAATAGTGAAAATAATAATAATAATAGCAGAGAGAGAGAGAAAGCACACTCTCACACGCCCACCGGTGGGCGTGGCCGTAGGCGCTGGGCAGTTAATAGCAGTGGTTCTGACCCAACCCCCTCCCCCTCCTCCTCCCCCTCCCTTCCCATCCGCTCCCATCTTCTCCCCCAGGACCCTCCGCATGTCCTGTCCCGACTTTAAACCCTTCCTCCTCCCTGGGAATTGCACGGCCCAAAGGAGCACGAGCGGTTGAAGGCAGCAAGGAGCAAGGAGCCGTGCATTTAAATATTAAAAAACTACATGCTGCAATTTTAATGTGTGCCCAGCAAGGCAAATAAAAATTAAATTAAATTAAAATTTCCCAAAGTTCCTTTTCCCCGAGTGTGTTTGGTGAAGTTGCAATTGCCGGCGCTGAGGAAAATGTTCGGTGTGGAAAAATGGCAGCCAATGCAAATGTAACAGAAGTTTCCATCAAAAACGAGAAGTTCAAATCCTACAGTGCGTTTTGTAAGTAAATATAAGCTGATTGCTTGAGGTCAAGAAATATATTATATCCTAATTTATACTTTGGAGATTCTTTTGATTGTTCTCGGAAGTTAAGTCTTTCAAACTTGATTAACTTTATTTTTAAATTATAGTTTCAATCTCTAAACTTTCTGTTCCTGCATATATGTAAGTACCTTTGCTTAAGTACTATATATTTTGAAATGCAGATGCAAATGAAAATTTGACGAGACTGAGAGGCAAACTGAAGATGGGAAAGTCCCCAATGCTCTCCCCATTTTCAAATGAAGTCCAGAACAGAGGAGCTATGTTCGTTCACACAGAAAAGCTCCCTGCTTAGACACCCAGAATAAAAGCAGATCCTGGCGTTAACTGCATGAGGAAACTGAACAACTAAACAACCAAGCAGCTTTGCCACTTCAACAGCAGATGGTGCACTTTTTGTTGGTAATTAAAAATTTACAGGGCTAGTTTCGAAACTATGAAAGTTGCGTAGATTATTTTTGTTGAGCCATAACTATTCGTTTCCATAAACAATTTAATTAGCAACACATTTCTGACCAGCAATACAGTTGAAAACTAAATACCCAACACCATTGAGTCGACTTGAAAGTGTAAGCCAGAAATTAAATAAAATGTTTAACTTTTTCTAGGGAACTTTAGGTTCTCACCTTCCGAAAGCTGTAAATTAAATTGCTCAATAACCAAAACCACTTACACGGCTCAATTTCTAATGCCTTCACACCTTCGGAATAATATCTATAAAATTGAATCATAAAGGCAATGAACTACCCCCACTTCTGCTTCTTCTTCTTCTGCTTTTTGTGTGCAAAACACGAGAGAGCAACAACAACAAGAAGGAGGGGAAAATTATACAATATTTGACCGCAAACTAAAATGTTATATTTCCGTTTCATTAAACAGCCAAAGCCTGTGGCAAGGCGAATAAATACAAGCAGTGTGTCTGTTGGCAGCAACAACAACAACAAATCCGATACAGGGATAAGAACAACAACAACAACAACAACAAGGGTAACAACAACATGAGCAAATAGTGTAAGTACCAGCAAATAGCCGGACAACAAGCCGGCCAAAACGCAAAGAGCCAAAAGCCTAAGCGGTGTTAAGGGGAAGCCCTCTGCTCGTTGCTCGTGCTCGTTGTCCCATTCCCTCTCAACTGTTTGTTTGAACAAAGCCAGCTACTGGCATATTTCTTGGCCCACACATCCCCACACACGCACAGAATAGCTGGCCAACACAGACGTACACACACACACACACACACACATGGATAGACACACGCAGAGCAAAGGCAACTTAATCAGATCAATTACACATGTTTTCACTGCATGGATTCCACAGAACGCAGAGCCCCAGACTCAGGCCTAGTCCGTAGTTCCACAGTCCTTTAGTCCCGGTGTCCTGCCGTCCATGCTCCGACCCGTGAAGGCTCCCGTTGTCCGTACTCCTCCCCCCTTCCCTCTATTTGACCCCCCAGCAGGAAGAGGCACAGGAGGAGGAGGAGGAGCAGGAGTCAAAGCGACCAGCGCGACGCCAGCTGCTGAAACTTTGCCTGCCCAGCACAGTGGTCCTTCTGCCCCATAAACCCCTCATGCAGTCAATAAGTTAGGCTGCACAGTGCGGAAATGTGGGTGGATTTATGGGTTTGTTTTATAAAACTCAGGAAACGTGTATTGTTAGTTTTACTCCCTCTTAGTTATAACAAACATGTCATTTAATAATTTCTTTTGTATAAGATTTCCACAGCAACTGACAGAGTATTTTCCATCACTATAAATTATTTCTAATTTTAGGCACAACGAAATCAAGTACACTATCAAAGCAATAAAAAATACAACTATTCTGCAATCAATGCAGATAGCTATTTTTAATGGTCTTACACAAATTTCTGATAAGATGTAAATAATTTGTGGCCTGTGCTTAGCCATTACGATTTCTGTGATTTTTTAGAAATAGAGATAACATGTACTTTAGATTTTCTATATTTTAAACATTAAATATTCCTAAGCAATCGAGTTTATGGGAAAATAATTATAATCAGTTAAAAGAAGATATATTAGCTATTTAAAAAATTTTTAAATAAGTTAAATTTGAAGAAATGATTTCAAATCCCTTATATGAAAGTATAAAAACTAGTTACCACTGTGCATAAATATTTCCCTGGCAGAGGTAGCAGTGGGCTTATTGGTTCGACTGGGGGGAATGTTGATGGAGGTGGCAGGACGAAGGACGAAGTAACGGCATTCTTGGCCCTTTCAGTCGCTCGACTTGGCTTTCGTGCTGCACTGACCGGGTACGATAATATTGGCCATAGAACAGAAACAGAAGCAGGAGCAATTTAGCAGGAGCAGGAGTCGGCGGTTTAGGCCGAGAACATGGCCTCATGTCAACACTTTGCCGCCTATGTCTGGCCAGCCACGCCCCCTTTCTCCCCTTCCGCCCCCTTTCGGTCTGTGTCAGTTTTCTAGACAAATGAAGCAAATTAGCTTAACAACGCACTGGGGACATTGTCAAACACGCACACCAACATCGCAAAACAGAGGAAGGAGCCGATTTACCGGGCCCAGATCGCTCCACTTCTCGCCGCAGTTTGTCATGGTCGTCTGGTTTGCAGTTCCTCCTCCTCCTCCTCCTCCTGCTGCTCCAGCTCCTCTTCATCCTTTCCAGGAGCACTTTACCGATGCACTTGTAGCACTTTCGGCTAATTATGCCCAGCACCAAAGCAACGGAAGATAAACCAGAGCTGCGGAAAAAGCAGGGAAGTGAGCAGGAGCGAGCGATTTGCTGGCGTTTTGAAAACGCGACCAAACGGAAACGCTGAGCGTGCAAAGGTGGAATTTCGGGATAACAAGGCAATCTCGAGATGACCTCAGGAAAAGATAGTACTTAAGTCTAGTCTAATGCGATTTTTATGAGAGAAATATGGCTTAAGAATAAGTTATTTAGTAGCCTGAGCTATCAATTGTTACAATCACAATTGTAGATTTCAATGAAAACAATTAAATAAAGAATTGAATGAGAATATTTAAACCATTTATTACTGATCTGTTAAGTTATAAATCTCCACACAGAAACACTGCAATACAACTTTAAAAACCTTTAAATATATTTTAAGAATTAACTTAATTCTTGCACTAAAAACAAGCACTACCTATCAAAATAGAACAGCTTAAGCTACCAATTTGTAAGCAATTTAAAACGCGTAAAAACATCCGCCCGCCTCAAAACTCCGAACCTCCAGTTGACCCACCGAGCGTTTTAAGCCACTTGCAAAATTCTCTTGGCGAGGCGCTTTAAACGCTTTCTTGGCACCTGACTTGCCCGGCATCATAATCCAATCAAGAACTTCACCGAACTCATTACCCGTCCGCTGGAAATCCACTCAGCCCCCCATTAACGACTTAGTAGCGTTTTAAAACGCGACGTGGAAGGTGGAAGGAAAAAAAAAACCGCGAGCTCTTTAATCGCCGCCTGCTGGTTATCCTTTAAACGGATTTTCCGGAAAAGGGGTTGTACGACGACATTTTTAGGGAAAAAGGGGGAGGAGGGAGGAGGACGGGCGACTCCTGCTGAAATTACAGCACGACCTCATTAGCAGCAAATATTTTGGCGTTCGTTCGTGCTCAGTCACTCAGGCAGAGTGCACAGATAGAGATACAGATACATTTGTATATTTAAGTACTTCATGGTTAGCGCGTAAATTAATGGTTAAGCCATCGCCGGTTGTTGGTCGTTTGGGTTGTTGCCCGTGGTTGCCAACCGCAGGCAGTTCGACGGGGAAGTGGGTCTGGTGGGGGGGGGCTTTTATTCTGACCATAACGAAGGGGGTTAAGTGGGCAGAAGAGCGGGGGGCAGGAGGGGAAAGGGGAGCCACTGGTGTGGGTGGCCGTCCATTAGATCGCCTACCGATGGGCACGTGACTGCCGGGATGGCATTCACGCGCAGACTGCGGTGAAAATCGCTGTGCAAATCAGGCCCCCAAATTACCAACGCCTCACGCAGCCATCGCTAAATCACAACAACACAGTGCCACCCCCTTTCCATTCCCCTCCCCCTTGCACTTCACCCCTTCCCTCCCCTCTACAAGCAAAAACCGAAAGCCCCGGTGATTAAATTTTAGCCACAAGACAAGTGCTAAATTACCGCGGCCCAAAACAAATCAAAATCAGGCAACTGTGCATTGCAAATAGAAATAACGCATAGCTGGTAAATAAACCCCCTTTCCCCTTCACACCCCGGGGGAAACCCAAACCCCCCAACACCCCCCCTTCCGGTTTTTGGCACACCTTTGCTCAGGTGTGCGCCACTGGCATCCAATGACAACCGGCACCGAAATCCAAGACGCGGCTGCAATCTTGTGCGGATTTCATGGGGATTAATTAAAATTGCCAATTACGAATTCATTAAGGCAGATCAAATTCCGAGGCGGGGCCCATTAAGGCGGCTTTCGTTACGGCCGGAAAATGCCTTACACTGGCCGGAGACTGCCGGTTTCCGGCCGAGTGGAACTGGATCCCCCGGCCATTCTGGCCATATTTCGTCAATGACTTTATTGGGTTTCACCGGAGCATTGGTTACATTTCTCGGACAGGCCTTTTGTCAAGAAAAAACTATAATATTTAAAGGGAGAAAGTTAATGTCTGCAAAATATATGGTAAACATAAGAAAGTTGTTTGATATTTTAAAAACAGATACTCAAGCATTTGATTGGAAATCCTAATGGCCATGATTTTTTTTGCATTCTATAAACATTTCTTTTTAGTTTTTTTAGAATGCATTTTTCAGCAGTCAGTCACGATAATTTCCACAATTTCACAGCCTTATCAAATTCGATTTTCGCCTGCAGCCAGAAATCAGCATCGCCTGTTTACTTCTCGATTTGCCTTTCTATTCAGATCAACTGCCCCGATTAAAAACAGTTTTCAAGAGTGTCTCGAACTCTCGAAGTCTCCCATTTCGGTTCGGCAATTGTTTGTCACTTTGGGCTTAAGCCGAGCGAGCGAGCAGGCTGCCAGAATGCGTTTTAATCACCCGATTGTTCGCAACAGAGGACAAAATCGGGGGCTGAGCAGTGAATTGTCGGATTCTCGGGGAAATTGGAGTCTGCGATGCCCCGGCAGTCGAAGTAATTTAACCAAAATACACGGCGCACTTTGTCATCGCGAAAGCGGAGCGGCTTCACCCCTGGGCGGGTTTCTAATTAATTTGCGTTGACATTGGTGGTGCACTCGGCAGTCGGCAGTCGACAGTCGGCAGTCGGGGGTTAAAGGTTGCGAGCCACCAACTGCTGACATGCAACAGATTTATAACGTTATTTGTTTGTCGTCTGCAGTCTGCAGTTTGCAGTTTGTTGTGGCAGCTGCGGCTCACTTTTTGATTGCCTGGCAGCAAAAAGGAAAAGCGCTGGGGAAAATCAGAGGGAGAGCTGCAACAAAAGCGCCGCACGACCGAAACGAAAATGGAAAACCGACTGAGACCGAGAATGAAAATGAAAATGAAAACTGTGTCGCACATCACTCAGTTGAAACTCGACTCAACGCAACCCGTCTCAACTCGAGTCAAGTCAAGTGGCCAAGGACCAAGGACCAAGGACCGAGGATCCAGACAGCCAGCCATCCAGCCATCCAGACAGACAGACGCTCGACAGGATTAACCCTCGGGAGCGGAGGACTCTTCGCCACTGAGGGGTTCTTAAAAAAGCGCCAAGGAGTGTTCTTCATTTCGGAAATTTGTCTTAAGGGGACGGACTACTCGAGTTAAGCGATGCCAGATGCGAAAATTGGACTCAACGATGATTAGTCTTTTATTGTCCCAGAAACAACAAAAACTCCAACAAATTTAAACCCGATATTAAGCTAACAGAGCTCGAAAGGTTTGCGATTGAACTCCTACAAAGTGTGCATCAAAATGTAGTTGGATGTTCAGTTTTTAATCCCACTTCATCGATGTGGTAAATAAACCAGCCAATGGAGTTTGCCAATCTGTCCGCAAATAAAAGTTATGAGTTCATTAGCACCAGACATTAACTAATTCGAATGGCAACAGCTGGCTGGCAAGAGATGTGTTTTAATTAATGGCCATCTGGCCAGTGAAATTTGTCAGAGATTAGGAATTCCCGCCGCATCCTCAGAAGTCATCGAGTCAATGGGGAACTGAAGCAGTTAGTTATAAATCCTGGGCAATAAATTACCCACCGAGAAGGAAAAGGAGACGAACGAGGAGCAAACAGAAATCCTTTGTTCCGAAAACGCGGGTATTTACATATTTTTAATAACGTGCTCGCAAATCAAGTGAAGCGAGCCTGTGTGTGAACTTGACATCAAAATGAACAAAACACGGACTCCGAGAGGTTAAATCATATTTGACAAATAGCAAACAAGGGAACGGGAGCACGCATGTGTACATTCCCGGAAAATACCAGGGGGTTCAATGGGCGGGTGGAGAGGGGGCTGAAAAACCTGGAGGGGGAGGGGAACAAACAGACAAGGTGTCTAAGCGAGTCGCAACAATGCCTGCCATATGACACATAAATATGTCCCTCCTGCTTCCCGAAAACAATGTACAAATAAAACAATACAAAATCATCAGCCATCAAGAGCAGGCTGTGAAAAACAGGCAGCAACGCTTTTCTATATCATTCACTTTAATTGGAGAGAAGGTGAATTATTGCTTGAAGATTTCAAATTTGGGTAGATGCTTATATCATTAAAGTTTTACATAAAAATCTATTGCTGATTTAAAACCCATAAGGAATTGATAAGGAATATAAATGAAATATAAAACTTGGTATGTAAAATATAAAAATAATGATCATTACCATTTATAAATGTTAACTAAATTATTTGTATTAAATTTAATAATTTTCTTATTTTTTATATTCCAATTATTCCATTAAAATGTATTTCAGCATTTAAGAATCCCTCTTTCCTATTAAACAAAAGCCTGTAAGTGAGCTCAATGAAATGCTAAACCTGAGCTGAGTTGCCTTTGAACATTTCGCACCTCGGACAAGTGTGAATGATGCGCCTGGGGGCGGGAAAGCAGGAAAGCGGGAAAGTCGGAAGGGAGAAAAAGCGGAGGAGGGAGGGGTGGTGAGAAATCAAAGCGGCAGACAAGTGGGATGAATCTCCAACATGTTGAACCTGGCGACGATGTCGTCGCGTTGATGATAACGTCGAGTACTCCAGACAAAGACGTCGTCGAGCTCTTGACTTTTTTGACTTTGTTATTTATTTTATTTGCACCACCCCTCCTTTCCCTCATTTCCCCCCTTTTCCCACTTTTCCCTTTCCCACCCGCCTTGTTCCTTATGTTTTTTTTTTTTGCCCAGCGACAAATCGACATTTGCTGCATTAAATGCTGATCAAATACACTTCCGCTCGTTTATCTGGGCAAATATTTGAGCGGGCGGGCTAACAAGTTTACAGCCAACGGCAGGATGGCAATGAAATGACGCAAGAAAAGTTGGAAAACTCCCAACTCTCGCCTTCCACCTCCTCAAACCAGAAGCAGAAGCAGACACAATTGAATTGTTAAAGAGGGAAATCTGTTGACAGCCAAGGCACCGAAATAGCATCGTTTGAAGGCCTCGAATTTGAGCCTAAGCCCCGCCAAAAGTGTCAAACTGTCCCGTGCTAAATTTAGGCCTCACCCTCAGCCGGAAATTGAAATTGACACCAGTGGAAGTGCAGGATAAGTACCAAAAAAATAAGTCTCTATATACACTCGTATCTATATGTTACCTCTGCTGGGAAGGTATATCCCTCGACACTGTGCTCCGATCCGAATTGGTCGTTCAGGCCGTAGTGCATGTGGATCTCGTGGAAGCGGTAGCGGTACGACAGCGGTCCGCCCGAGATGTTCACCGGCGTCTGCATCCCGTCGTAGTTGGCCACCGTGTCGTTTCCGGCGGTGAAGATGACGCTGTGGCCCGTATTAGTAATCAGGCCAGATATCTGAAGGGAAAATAGGATAATTAGGATTGGGACTTTCTCAATAAAAAAGGATTGCAAAATAATGGGAACATATAAACTGCGGGACTTTTATTCTTCAATCTAAATAAATTATTTAAGTACCAATGTAAGTAAAGTAACGTAAATAACAAATCCAATTTTTGAAATATTATTTAAGAGGAAAATACTGATCAACTATCAAATATTCTAGCCTTCAAACATACGCAGTGAGGTTTAGTTGTATAAAACCAAATTTGAATGCAACAAAGTTTTCTAGTTAAATATAAATCTTATTTTAAAATATAATATTTGTAATATTTCTTTGATCTCAAAGAGATCTTTTCACTCACCCTGTGCTTGTCTATGTGCATCGGTCGCAAGTTGGGATCGAAGAGCAGGCGTTGTGGCTCCAGATTCACCGGCGACTGGCGGCGCCCCTTGTTGCAGAGTGACCACTCCGGATTGATGAGTCCCCAGAAGGCAGGACCTGAAGAGAGCAGAGGGGAAAGGGAAAAGGGTGTTGCACTTTATTAGACAGACCTTCGAATCGATCCCCGTCCCCGGGTGGCAAGGAGATTTATGAACCCAACTCGCCTCAAACTGTTTCAAAAGTTTCCTTGCCGACCACAATTGTGGGCTGTGTGTTGGCCTGGCCAACAAGAGAAGGAAGAGGTAGAGGTGCTGCAAAAACCTGCCACAAATTGCATAATGGCAACAGAAGGGTTCGGAATGGGGCGAAAGGTCTGCGGGGCATTTACAATATTTGTCTGCATCTGCATAGGTGTTGGCCTGCGTTGGTTTAGTTTTTGGTTTTTTCGGTTTTTCGGTTTCTGCGTCTGTTTGATTCTGGCCACACAACTAAGCCAAAAAGCCCCTCTCGAAAGCCCCCTGACTGCTTTAATTTCGTGCGGTTTGCTTAGTTTTCCCAGCCACCCAACCACCCACCTTTTCCCAACCCTTTCCCCCACTGAAACGGTAAAATTGCAGCTTTATTTTCCATCTCACTCATTCCCTCTCTCTGTTGAAGTCTCTTCCCTTTTGGTTTTGGCCAACTTTATCTGGGCAGGCAGCTTAATTTATGGCAATATGAAATCAAGCTGAGCTGCCCCAAAAACAATAGGCCAGCTTTTTTATTGCCAGTTCACCCGGGGCGAAATCATTTCTTTGCCAGTTTGTTGCTATTGCCGAGTTGATTTAATCTGTGCTCCTTGTATTTTCAGCAATTGAAAGTGTTTCACTTTGGCTTTTCGCTTTTTTCAAACGCATATCGAAGCTTTGCCTAAAGAGTTTAGCAGTTCACTTTGTGAGACTAAAAATATAAAGCCCTTAATGTGATTGCTAGATGAACTTGTAAATCATTTAAGAGCACTTAGAGTTCCTGCTTTCTAATAGAATTTCCAACTCAAGTATGCAGTTTTAATCCATTTTTTTTCTCCAGAACGAATGTTGCATTTCCACATTTGCCCTTTAATTGAGTTTACGGTTTTTATTTATATTCTTCGCTTATCCTTTTATTCTCCGTTTTTTTTTTTTGCTTGCTTGCTCAAGGATCAACCCATTATTAAAACCTCTTCTGGGCTTTCCATTCGAGTCCGTTCCGATCCAGCCACTTGTAATCCCATTTATGGCACACATTTCCAACCAAACCAGCTCACTTCACCCCCCTCTCTCTTCATCCTGCCGTCTCATCCATAAAAATGCTTCGCCTGCAGTCGCATTGCGTATACGACACGTAGCACGGCTCTGGCTAGCAGGGGCACCACAAAGGGGGTGAGTAGAGAGAGGGGATAGAAAGGGGGGATGAGGATTCCTGGGAATCAACACGTTCGCTGCGAGGCCGCAATCAGGAGCTTCAATCATAGATATGCCACGTACTCGCGTTTAAGCGATTGTTGACCTCAACGACGCCATCGCATTAGCCAAAAGAAAAGCCAAAAGAAAAGCGGATAAAAATAAAGGATGAAGTAGCGAGGGGGCTAAATAATCCCACGAGCGGGCAAAAACCACCAGTGTAGCTGATGAAAAACTGGTGATGCCACGGGCGTGAATGGGTTAAGCAATTAACTCTGTGGAACGTGGTAATCACACTACTTGCAACTCATAATAAGAAGATGTATTTAAATGTGGAATGGCTACTTTACAAATAATATTATTTAAGTTCAAGTAGTACTTGCTACCTTTTCTTCCAGATTTAAATCATCCCTTTAGCACTTAATTGTTGCATGTATTAAAACGATTTTAAAACCGTGTCACGTGCTCATCACCTTTGCACTTTGAGGAGTGGGAAAACCGAGTGGGAGTCATACTCAGATAGCGCCGAGAAGGATGTTGCAGTCTCGAGTCTATTAAATTGCGGTCTGGAGTCGAGTCAATGAGGCAATTGCCAAACGATTTTAGCAGCCATTAACAACATTAGTGGCTTGGCTCACTGGATCCACGAGCTGTTGCCGTGGCGGTTGCTTCTCGGTGGGTTGTTGCCGGTATTTTCGTACGTTCCTTTTCCTTTTTTTAGCCAGATACTTTGGAGGTGGGGTGTGCTGCTAAAAGGCGGTGGCATGATGCACGCTCCGTTTGATTCCGTTTGGCCGCCTTTATTTGGCTCGTTGCGAGTGCAAATCACGTTAAACTAGTGGCACGTTGCAGCTGCAACTGCAGCTGAGGCTTAGTCGTCTTTTTCGGAGATCCCTTTCTACTACTTTGAGCCCCCTCTTACCACTTTACCCCCCGCCCCCGTGTGGCACACTCAGTGGCGCTCCCCTGACGAGGGATTGCGACTTCTCCAGCCGACATGCATGCAATGCTTATGTAAATTTATTTATGCCAAAAGAGACACAAAGTTCGCCTCGGATTTCGGTTGCAATTTGTTGACAAGATACCCCTGTGTCCCGGCTTTTACACGCAGAGAAAAATTAGAGTACTAGAATACCAAACTTAAATTCCCTTTCCAAAAATGGAAAATAAACCAATGATGCAGTTCGTTAGATATCTATATTACAATTTGAACAAGGTATACCGATCATAAATCGGATAAAAATTAGGGTGTCATAAAATATGAAAAAAATGGATCCAAAGATGAAAAATAAACTAATGATGCAGCTTGATAAATATTTGTGTAATAAATTCAACAAGGTATACCACTAGTAAATCTGATAAAAGTTAGGAAAGTTAAAGCTTCAGAAGTGCTGGGATTTGGTCACTTTTCTGAAAACCCATTTTTGGAAATTCGGAAAAGTCGGGGGCCATAAAAAATTAAAAAAAAATAAGATTACTACTTCTTATTTAAGAATGTGTTGTATTGATTTAATTTTGTTTTAAATATATTGAATCTGGATATTAAATAATTTAAAGTTAGTTTGCTTATTTAATTTCCACAACAATCTCTTAAGCATCCACACATTTCACTTGTTTAATTTCTAAACTTTAAGGCACACATAGGTTTTCCTTCTTGCACAAATTTCCCCAACATTTCATTTGAAATTCGTCCTGCATTTGGGTTTCTGCACTTTAAGTTTGATTTTTCGCCACCTATCTCTCTTTTTGCCTCTCCCTGTTCACCAAATCCAATTCAAAATTCAAAGCACTTGAACTTATTTATGCATTTGTCTTGTGCAAATGGCGTCGCCGTTGTGTCTCTCTAATAAGATTAAGAAAGATGCTTCCACCGAAGGCAGACTGCAGAGTGGGCGGCTGACAAAGAGGAGGAGGAGGAGGAGAAGGGGGGCGTGGCCGGGCGAGTGAGGGAGACAGAGCAACGCTTATCGGCTGTCTGCTGTCCTGTCTGGACATAATCTCCATGGACCTTTGCCCCGATTTCGCCGGCAGTAGTGACACATGGCGAACAGTTCTCCATTTCTCGGCGATGGCATTTCGGGACTCTCTATTGCCCCTCTCGTTCTCTTTCTCCATATTCTATATGTATATATACATAGCTATATATATCTGGATATATCCTTCTCTGTCTCTGTCTTTTTCTGCGTCTGGGCCTCTGCTTATCACGTTTCAACGCCAGACAATGGCGAAAAAAAAGGAAAGTTCTCGCTACATCTCCGCCTGGTTCTTTGAATACTTTGTCTGCCTTTCCATTTGACAGCTGCAAATCGGCTTCGTCTCTGCTTTTTCCACTTCCCATTCCATTTTCCCCGTCCTTTATTTTCCAGAAACCTCTTGGCCATCGTGCTTTTCCTTTTGGCTCCTTTCCCATGCATTTCACGCGTGCAGCTTCAGTCGCTGAGAAAATCGTTTTACACCGGCAACAACAATCGCCCTGACTTTTCCGCGTCCCCTGAGCAGGTGGAAAAACACCAACCCACAACACAACCCCCCTCACCCCATCCCATTTCCCTTCAACTTTGTTGCTGTAGCGACGCGTGCTGCTCGTTGGCTGAAATTTTACTTTCCGCTTCCGTCCGTGGTTATTGTTGAGCTTTGATTAAAATTTACTTTGTTGTTGGTATTTATGAAACTTAAACGGAGGCGGCAAAGGGCGCAGGCAGAGGGGGAAGGGGCGTGGCCAGTTGGCAAAAGCTTACCCGAGATGCCATCGTATGTCCACCAATCCTCCCAGCTGACGGCGAGCAGAACTGCAAAGAGAGAGAGCGGGGAAAGTGCATCAGATTTCAATTTTCGAGTTGATGAATATAAGCCGCGAACATGTCAAAGATCTGATTGGGACAATATATACACACCCAACGGTTAATACCTTATAGTGTTTGTGGAAGAACGCAGAGGTGTGGACTTAACAACAGAGCGAAATATCTGGGAAAGGACCCAACCGCAGGAGATTGTACATTTTAACGACCCAGAAACAGACACCCAGAATTTTTTTATTTTTTGACTTTTTTCAAAGCGTATTTAATACCAGCGCTAAATGCTTAAACACTTGTATGATTTATAACAATAATTTATTTAGCAAAAATAAATAAATCAATCACTTATATCAAATACCAAGAAACTATCTCTTTCTTGAGATCAAAAACCTTAACAACAAAATTATTTCATTTAATGTTTATATATAAATATGTTCAGTAAACAGATTTCTATCGTATTTAAATTAGGGCATCAACGATTTGGCTTGGAACATTTTTAGGAGGTCCTTCGTGTCCTGCACTTTGTGAAAATGATTTTTGCTTACTTGCCTTTTAATTTTTTCGTGTTCGAGTTGGTTTTCGCTTTTTGTTCGACGGTTCGTTGGCTCGTTTTTGTTTTGCGTCTGCTTTGCTTTTTTTTTGCTCGCCCCGTAAATTCACTTCCGTCACTTGTTAACTTTAACATTCATCGACACTTTTTGCCGTTTGGCCTTTTTCGTTGTTGTTCTTCTTGTTATTGTTGTTGTTGTTGTTGCTGTTCTCTACCTCACTTTTTTCTGGGTTGGCGGGAATGCAGCTGAAGCACTTTGTTATTTTGACAGCCGACAAAAAGCGGGCCAATGCCTTTGGCCAGAAGCAACCCCTTTGGACCAGCAACCAGCAACCTGCACTCTTTCTTTCCTTCCGCGACTCGAATCAAAGTCAAGAAATGTTGAGTCATTAAAACGCGTTACGAGCCCCACGCCCCCGGTCCTTTTGGTCCTTTGGGCTCCCCACAAAGTGCAGTGCGAAATGCACTGTAGTTTCCGGCAAGGAGTTTCTCCGTCCCGGCAAAAAAAGCCCCAACGAACTCGAGTTCCACTCCAGATATTCTTGCGAAACTTTCTGAAGGGCGTTTTTGGTAAAAAGTGGGTATATTTGCTAAGGAAACTCTTGGAAATTAAGTTTATTAGATAAAATTGTATGTATGGTTAACCTTACAACTCTTGATATGCAAATTGGTACCAAAATGACAAATATAGAAAAAATATATATTTATTTCAATGAAGACCAAATGGTAAAGCATTTAGCATTTTGAAGAACATTCCGAGTATTACAAACCGGTAACTATTTTTCAGAGCAATCCTTATCTCAGAGTACACATATTACCCTGCCTTTTTTACCCTTTCAAATATATTTTGTAAAAAGCAGAAAATGTCAGGACAAAAAACCTTGAAAATTTGTGACGAGGGCAGAGCGAAAAGTAAAAGGCAACGACAAGAGCAACATCAACGAGAGTAATAACAATAATAATAATAATAATGCAAAGTCATGGGCAATGATTGAAATTAATGGATTTCTAAATGCTCAGCGTCATTGCAGTCACCCATTCTCGGCTCTTAACCCTTTGGCAACTGAAGGGGCTTGTCGGTAAAGGGGAACTTAAACCGCTGTCGACAAATTGTGGCTTTGGCTGCGATTCATGAAACCCCTTTGCCATTTGTGATTTATGTGGCGCACTTAAAGAATCATTTCATTTAAATGCAGAATAGAAAGCAACAAATCAAAATACTCTAATTAAAAAAACAAAAGAGGATATAAATTGAATTAAGTTCTTTAAGAATATCAAATCCCCAAAGCTTTTGCTTACATCCTCAAAATAAGTAAATACATTAAATACCCAAAGTTTAGGTCACCAACTCTGCATTAAGCTAGGTGTTTTTATTCTGCCAGATTTACACACTTTATGAAAAGTTTTTTCAGCTTTTTCTGTTTGAAAACATCTCGAGTAATTTCTATTCAATTCGCTGGTTTTCCCACTCTCCTTTGGTTTTGTTTGTTCATTGAATTCTATTTATAAATTTTCACCTGGCTGCACGTCCCTTCTTCTCCCATTTACCCCTCACCTCCCCTTTCCACCGCTCCCCTCTTCACCTGATCCTTCTGTTGGCTTCTTCTTGGCCTTCTTCCATTCCTCCGTGGTCTCGCTTTCGCAATCATAAAAGGCAACAAAATGTTGAACAAATTTTTATGGCTGCACAAAGCAACAGAAAGTGACAAAACGAGAGAACAGGGCAAAAAGTCACCAGTCCAGGATGCACCGAAAAAAAAAACACTTTGTAATTGAAAGACTTGCAGGTGATGATAACCTAAGAAAAATATTAAGTATACGTATCTTCAAGTTATAAATGTAAATATTTGTATACAAAAAGCTTGTATGATATTTACAATTTAATTATATTAAAAAGTAAGAGAATAAAATAAAAGAATAAAATTTAATTTTGAAATGCTAGTTGCATTTAAATTCATTGTTCAATTCAGTCACAAATGCATCTTTGTTTGTCATAAATTTGCCACACTTTTCTTTCAGTGTAGTGTAGTGTCATGGCAGCACAGCCGTCGGAAAGCCCCCCGCCAACCCCCTTCCCCTTCGTTTTCGGCTTGTGGTCGTCGCTTTTGTGGCTGCCTCGCATTTTTCGCCCCGCCTGAATTTTCTCTCTGCTTTTCGACGTCGCGCCTTTTAGTATTAATTACAAATGAAATTTTCTTATCATTTCAGTTGCCGTTGACAACTTTCTGTCTGCTGGCCCGTCTGGGCCACCATCCCTCCCCCTCACCACACCCTCTTCCTTTTGGCCAGGAAGCTCCTTCAGTTTAGGGCCAATAAGCAAAAATAGTTGCTGCTAATTGTTGTTTGCCGTTTATGGTTATGGCCAATGCGTGCTAATTGTCGCCAGCCATCTCCTCGGGCTTCTTTTTCGGTCTTTTCAATTTCAGCTTCGATGCGAGGTTTTATTTTGTATTTCGTATTTCGTATTCCGCATTTCGTATTGTGTTTCCTGCAGGAAATTAATTGCGACACTTTAGTTGCGCTCAATATTGTTTGGCTCTCTCCTGTCAGCCTTTTTTCGTTTATTTATTTTGTCAGCGATACTCTTGTGGAAAATGTTGTGATTATGTTGAAAAATACTTAAAACTTTATAATTCATTAAAAGTTGATTTATTTCAGACATATTAAATAGCTTTTAATAATATCAGATCAAAAAATATTTACAGCATGAATTTAAGCTTTTTCAAACTAGTTTTATTATTGTGTACTAATTGGTGGTTTATGATCGAATTTCCAAATTTTATGGAATTACGAAAAATAGCATTGAACACTTTGATGAATTTGGTATATTCCGATTTTGCCGCTCTTTGCTTCTTATGTTTTCCTTGCTCTGTGCTCGCTTTTCTTTCTGTTCGCTCGCTCTTCGCTTTTTCGACTATTTTCTATTTGTTTGCTGTCGTCGTAGTCGCTTGTCTATTTAAAAAGCACGTAAACATGGCCGACTTCTGGCGCGCCCAAATCAACAACAAAAACATAAACAATAACAACAACAGAAACAACAAAAACAACAACAACAGTGACAGGATAAAGGGGTGGGGTAATGGGCGAGGGGAGTGTGTGGGAGGTTGGCAAAAACACAAAAAAAAAGGGAAAAAGGATTGACGTGCGCATTTTAGTCACGCTGTCGCGAGTTTTTTGCCTTTTTTGCCATTTTAGCTGATTGTTTTTGTTGTTGTTGTTTTGGGGGAAACAGAAGTACGGTTAGTTGTTGTTGTAGTTGTAGGCAAAAGGATATACACGCCATGTGTGAGGGAAACGAGAATATCAGGACATCGAGACATCAGGCGGCTCTGCCCGCGGGTAACTTAATATTTTGTTGATGTTTGCCCAACTTGATTATATCTATCACTATCATAATATAGTACACCCCCCGCCAAGCCGTTAGCAGCACACCCTTTTGAGACATATGCAAATTTCGCCAGCAGAAACCCAAGACAGGCCAAAAACAAGTGTCAACACAACACAGATTGGACCAAATGGATATGATCTCAAAACTGAATTATATGGCGAGTGATATAATGAAAATGTGTGTAAGCCGCAAGGTTTTGTAAACTATCTTCTTGTTTACAGGCGGCTGTGATTCATGTGAATAATTTATTTGGCAGCGTTACTTTAAAAAGTTTAAGGATTTGGGAAGAAATTCATTTGAATACAATATTCGAAAAATATTTATTTTACGCTATAACAAATGAAAGGTATTCGTTATGTTCAAAGGTCTTACAATATAAAAGTATATTAATAATAATATTAAGAATTAAATAAATATGTTTTTTGCTTTTATAATAATAGTATAAATGCATCACGCATACGCCATGTCACCTGTATCTTCAAATTTTAATGGATTGCTTATAATAATTATTAGTACAAGAACTAAGATTATTTAGCACATGCGTAGAGGATTTACTTTAGTATTGAAAGGAAGTTGTGTTTTTGTACTTTAATTGATTGTGGTGAAGGTTTTCCTGTTCCGCACACTTTCCTTTCTCCACCGCCTCTAATTCATTTGATTTTTATGAACTATGGGAAAAGGGGGAGGGCGGGGTGGGAACATAGTAATATGCAAATAGCCCAAGGCGTGTTCGCTGAAATCAGGAGCAAAAAGTCGAAGGATATGGGAAAAGCGGGAGAGAGAGATCTGGAGGAACACGGTGGTGGTTCCGTTTTTAAAAGCGCAAGCAAGTGAAAGCTTTCAATCAATGTCGTTCGCTTGTCAGGCACCCCTTCCCCACCCGCCGCTTTCACCACCAATCCCACCCTCTTAACTCCCCCGAAAACCCCCTTCAATCCTGACCATTCAATACCCCTGCTTTTAGCTGGGCTTACACGCCTCTGTTTTTGTGGCCAGCTTTGGCTTTTAATTTCTATCGCTACGATTTCATTTTTTAGTTCCGTTCGGTTCGGTTCG